GTTCAGCCATTTGGGGTTTTCCTTTTATAAGAGGGAGACTCGAATATGTGTAAGGATTGAAATTTTATTTTTAATTTTAATTTAGGGAATCTTCGTCGAATTTGGCATGTATGTGTAGAGTGTGCACCCATTAGGTATGGAAAGCACGCAAGAGTAGTAACAGCACGGTGATCTGTTCACTACAGTAACGCGTGCCTTCTGGCCTTAATCAACTACAGAAGCGGGCTGCTATGTAGGCAAAGGCTTAAAGTAAGAGTTTTCCGAAAGCAGCTGACCTCCTTTCCCTGTCTTCCGGCCTCCTGGGTCTTGAGCTCAGGCCTGGGTTTTGCGGGGAGGAGGCGGCCTGAAATGGGGTTGGAAGACACCGTGCTGCGGCTGGTAATGGACGCCAGCCTCACGCAAGCAGATAAGGAAACTCCGCTGAAGCTTCATGTGCTGGATGGTTTACATCTGGTGATACTTATAGAGCGTTTGCATTTGCTGACGCTCAACCTACCCAGGCAAAGTGAAGGTTCCTATGGTNGGTGATACTTATAGAGCGTTTGCATTTGCTGACGCTCAACCTACCCAGGCAAAGTGAAGGTTCCTATGGTAACTGCAGCCTGAGCATGATACAACTACTATGTCTGAACACAAGCCCATCATCCATGCATATTCCCATCCACCCATCAATAAATGGCCTTGAGAAGTCGTGACTGATCTACCGCGGCAGTTCAGAAGGTGCATTCAAGAGGCCAGATGGCATATAAGTGTACTCCAGCATGCGAGTGCGGGTGTGGACAGCTGTCTCGTGCCTGTCATCCGGATGAATTGGGATCTGCAAGCATGCCTCAGAGAACCCAGAAGCTGAGTATACCGCTTAACCTTGTAAGCGGTCAAGGATTTCGTCGATCCTGGGTATCGGAAACTTTTGTTGCACTGTAATTTTGTTGAGGAGCTTGGAGCCAACCCACATGTGCTATCTGCCTTCAATTTTCTTCGCCAACACAGGATCGTGCCAGAAGGTGCTAGCTGAGGGCTAAACCTTGCCCATTCTTAGAAGTTCATCCGCCTGACGCTCAATTTCCTCTTCAATATGAGGGGGTCACTTGTGCCTTAGAACGAAGCTTGGGACTGAACCGGGAATGAGTTCGATGCGGTTGACTGAGAGTCCAGCGGGTTACCTGCCCGCAGGTGGCTCTTTGCTTTCGAGTACGTCTGACAATTCTTCCTTCAATTTTCGCCCACTTCAGCCGTTCATCGGGTTTTAACTGGATCGAACCCCCCAAGACGGCGGTCTCTGACAGACCGTCCCTGTAGTGAACAGCGGGCTCAGCTGTTACTACGTGTGTACCCTATGTCAATTATACCGGGTTCAGAGACTACACCTATGCATTAAACACAGCCTATCTTTGCTATAACAACTCAAATATTCGAATAAACGAGATTAAAACATATTCGAGTCAATTCATTCCATTAACCTTAAAAAGGGAAGTCAAGAAGAATAAAGCTCTTTCGTCTCTGACTCTGCCATGAGTCAGAAAGTCGCAGCGTTAGTCTCCCTGCCAGCCCCAAACCCCAGTGTGGCTGCCGAGCATTCTTGATTATCGTAGATTTCTATCTAAAGTGCTGCCATCTATCTATATTCGTATTGGATTTGTTGTTTTTCATCTAAAAAGGTCTCTGAAGGTTCCACTTGAGCACCATTGTAGTGCCGGTGAACCACAGTCACAGCTGAGTCCATGCATATATTCGTCGCTTCCTTCAGTACCTCTGCAGTGTATGNCGGTGAACCACAGTCACAGCTGAGTCCATGCATATATTCGTCGCTTCCTTCAGTACCTCTGCAGTGTATGGGAGCCTCGTCGCTCGGCTTTCCTTGGGACACAGCTTCCACTCCTATGACCATAGAAGATGCAAATGCCGTTGGGAGCGCTGAGAGGTGCAGGCTTTCATCACTTCCTGGCGGAATTAATTCTATGGAGTCATCACGGGAGCGGATTTGCGCTTTCCACTGGGTCGCCCGCGGCATGCCTAGGATTATTTCGTGGTGAACAGATCCAACGTAGAAATCCCTTGTCTTATTCATGAGCCTCGTTTTGGAACTAAGAGAGCATTTCAGGCCCACAGTTCTGCCGATTCTTGTATCCCGCCTACCTTCCGCAAAGCGTAGCCTCAGAGATTGCGCCAATGAGTGGACGAGTAGACTGCATGTAGTGCACAGACACTACAATGGATCCCTTTTGTGGCCTCTAGAGGCCTAGTATCATGAAAAAGAATAAATACTATAGAACATCTCAGGAATTAGGACACTTTTAGATAGAAAAGATGCATAATAGGATCTGAGTGCTGACCAGCCCCTTGGGGCTGGGTGTGATGCTGATGCTTTGACTCTGGCACTGACCCTCAGCGAGGGTCAGCGACAGTTCTATTATTCTGGACTTTCCTGTGGGGAAGAGATAATCTGAACTCCAATGTGTTTTGGTTATTTATGGTGTTTAATAGCGGATTCAGAGAGAAGAACGTGTTTAGGTAGTTAGATGCAGAGTGTGCATCTAGTCAGAATAGCTTAGGATTCATACGTAGTAACGGCGAAGGCCAGCTGTTCACTACACTGCACGTGCGGCATCTGATATCAGATCCACTTCACATCCCGCATCGAGTAGGGCTAATAATGCATGCCCTTTAATGCGTTCTTGACTTGATGTGGATCTGCGGGTGCTGCTGTTATCTCGTATGATGTGGCCCCATCGCTGCGCTGCACGTTGCGTAGGGGCCTGGATGTTTCCCTGATTGCTCTGTTTGCTCTCTTGGCAGCTCTGTTCGATATTTGCATTCAATTGGCTCCTAGCCTTTCTGATAAGCCAAAATACTTGACCCGGTTCATCGTAAAAGACGCAAGTGCGCCGTTCGGTACCTCCTTCTTGCTCTGTGGGTGTTGTGTTCACTATCTGCTGTTGATTAGTGCTTCCAGGCCGCGTTTTGGCTTCTCTAGTGTTCATAGCCCCCATATCCATAGGCTCCAAATCAGGACCGTTCCCAGAGCTGCTTTCTTCCTCTTCGGGTAGGGCTGTGCAAGTGGCATTTTTTCTCTTTTTTGCGGTAGCACTCCATTGTGTGATTTCCGTTTTTTCACCCCGCATTTCCCTCTCCGTAGCACGGCCTGCTACTGATTGTCTCTCTGCGGAGGATAGCCTCGCTATAAATCATGTATAAAACAGCTCTGGACTCACCATATGGCTTCGCGTCCCCACGGACTGATATTTCTCAGCGCCACGCTCTATCTGCAGCTCCGCCTGCTTAAGCTTTCTCAGTTCCGCCATTGTCTGCGCCCCTGCAGACCTCGAGATAAACTGAGTATGTAGCCCATCCGGGAAGGCTTGCATGGACCTGGTGTGCTCCGGAAAGGTAGAGCTTTTGCTCAAATGTAGCCACCACCGCCGTGCATCGCCTTCTACTAAGGAGGAGGCCAAAAGTAATTGGAATTCTTCCGCGGCATTTTGTAGGCGAACGTATAAGTCTAGGGAGCTAAGGATATCCTCCACAGCGTCTGCGGCCCGGCGCCCATCATACTGCGTACGAAGGCACAGCCGGAGGCATTGCTCCTAATNACCTCCTCTGCGAGCGGATCATAATCAATCTCCATTTTGCAGAGAGGAAACAACTGAAGTTGTTTAGGGAACAGAAATCAGTATAATTTTATGTTTGTTTCATTTTATTTTTACTGTTTTCTGTTCAGAAGTGCTTGATGCCACCCGTGTGAGGATTGAAATTCGTGTTCGCGCCTGCCCCGATGAACCATGCGGTGCTACCACGTATACCGCTTGCCCTTTGGCCTTAATGAATGACAGAAACGATCTACAGTGTAGGCAAAGGGTTAGAGTAAGAGTTTGCCGAAAGCAGCTGACCTCCTTCCCCTGTCCTCCGGCCTCCTGCGCCTTGATCTCAGGCCTGGATTTTACGGGGAAGAGGCAGCCTGAACTCGGGTTGCAGCGCACCTCGCTGCGGCAGGTGATACATGCCAGTCTCACGTGTGAACACAGGGAAGCTTCAACGAAGTTTCCTTTGCTGCATGCTTTACCTCTGAATGCACTTATAGAACGTTTCCATTGGCTTACATGCAACCTACCAAGGCAAAGTGAAGGTTTCTATAATAACTGCAGGCAGACCATGCTACAACCGCGGCCAAGTGAAGGCTCCTGTGCTAACTGCAGGCAGACCACGCTACACACTAACACTGTAGACAATTGTAATACTTACATGGCCCTCTGTACAAAGCCTGTACCGAAGTAGGAAAACACGTACCAGCTTCAGACAGAACATGCTACATGCTAGAACTACAGACAAGCCCGAGAGAAATTTCCTAACAGTGCTTCNTACTTTGATGGTTATTGTATTGGGGTTTATGTACACAAAACGTACAGCTCAGGGTTCGTGGTTGTTGACTTTCCCCCCGCAGCACAGCGCAATGGAGGCCGTCTGCACTCTTTCTTTTTCAGTTGCTGTATATACTTGACAGTTTTCTGTGGAAAGTTTCGTCTTTTAAGCGCAACAAAGGGTAGAAAACCTTATTTACTATTGCTTCATTAGCAGCAGCAGCAGCAGCAGCAGCAGCACCACGGGCCTCTATCCTCGCAGTAGCGATGGCTACCGGGCCCTTCCCTGTTCATGATCCTACTAAGTTTCCTCTCTTTGTTTTAACCCAGCTTTAAATGGGTTAGTATTTGGCTCTTTTGCGTGGTTTTTCCCTTCTTTCTGCCTCTGTAGCTGCGGCGTGTGGCCACTCCCCGCAGCGACAGCAGCAGCAGCAGCAGCAGTAGCAGCGGCAGCAGCGCTACGGAGAAGGCCCCACGCTAGCCCGTCTTGTACGCTTTAGTCAATTCTCTAAAAAGCAATTAAATTCTGTTCCCCCTGTCTACCCTGTCTCTCTCTGCAGGGTTGGCTTTAGCTTCCAGCTCTCTCAAATCATCTCTAACCACCGGAGCCGCTCTAGGGTTTAGGGTTTAGGGTTTGTAAGCGACATGAAAGACGACGCTGCGCAGTCGCAGCGCCAGGTCGCTTCGGGGGGCATTCCTGCCGGCTTTGGTGCCCTAGGGGAGGCGTTCCCAGCCACCTCTGCAGCAGCAGCAGCAGCAGCAGCAAACGCGGGCTTGGCCCTGGGAGTTGTAGCAGCAGCAGCAGCGCCTGCTGCTGCCTCCTCTACTCTCTGGCTCGTAGACTCTGCTGAGGGGCAGAACTGCCTTGCTGCAGCAGCGCCCTGGTCCTCTCAGGTTAACGCTACAGCCGTTCAACAGCAGCATGCAGCAGAACTGCAACAGCTGGAGTTCCTCAAGCAGCGGCGACAACACCAGTTGCTGTTGTTGCAGCAGCAGCAAGCGCAGCAGCAGCATATGCATGAACAGCAGCTCAGGCAGCAGCTGCTGCTGCAGCAGCACGCCCCTTTGCAGCATTCCACCAACCCCCAAGTTCTACAGCACCATTTACAGCTCCAGCAGCTGCAGCAGCAACAGCAGCAGCAGCTCCAACAGCAGCAGCTGCAGCACATACTTAGCCAACAGCTGCTTCGCGAACAGCAGACACAGAGGGAAGCGGAGGAACAGCTGGCGAGGCAGCTGTTGCAGCAGCAGGAGCTGCTGAAGCAGCAGGAGTTGCTGCAGCATCAGAAGTTGCTGCAGCAGCAAGGGCTGCTGCAGCAACACGATTTGATGCAACAAACAGAGCTTCATGAGCAGCAAGAGCTGCAGCAGCAGCAGCAGCAGCAGCAGCA